AATGGAGTGAAGAAGGATCAACAGAATGTTTTTGTCCTTTCTGTTTGAACTCCTGTGAGTTTGAAATAACCCTGAAAAGAATGTTGAACACATCTTTGTTCTTTTTTTAAAAAAAAATTAAATAGAATATTCTCTTTAGATGAATGTATGGCTCAATGATAGAACACTTGCCTGGCATGGAAAAGGGCCTTCTTTATATCCAGTCAGTAAAAGAAAAAAAGGATTCTCCTAATCTTTGAATATTTTTAAGTATTACAGTGACAAAAAGTTTACATTTTGAGATAATTTAATGTGTCTGAGGACAGAATTAATTACATTTATTTATAGTCTCTGTTCAAAAGTTTATTTTTATCTTACTGACATATAAACACTCTCTTGGAAAACAAACCATTCTGGGTCATAAAACCACCCAGCAGCTCCAGGCATAGCTGGCATTCTTTGAATGGGCGAAACTCCTTCACATAGAGGAAGGTTCACTTCTCATTCTTGAGTCTTGGGTATAGGGCTCTGTAAGCAGTATTATGGCCCTGAATGCTGAAAAGTCCATATCTGTAATCTCAACCAGCACCTTAACCACATCAGTGTGCCAGACTGCCTGCTGTCCAGATAGTTAAACTACTTTTCCAAGAATGTAGGTGTGTATAGCTTTAACTCAAAGGTCTTATAGTAAACTAACAAAGTGATACTGGTAGGTGCTGAATACTGCACCTACAATACAATACCATAGACTTTTTCAAAAAACTGTGTGAATTTTGTTTTCCTATGGCACAAAACTATAGTACCTGGCTTCTTATAAGAGCTACAGTCACTGTCTAAATCTTCATTTTGGAATAAGCCTAATGAACAAAAAAGTAGACCCAACTATTCCATATACTTCCAATGCTGATGAAGTGTTCATCCCCTTTGCCATGGTATTAGGTCCTGTTCAACTGCAAAGGCAATGTGTTCTGGAACTATATTCTCAGGCTGCAGACTGCTTCAAAATGAACCCTAAAAATGCTTTTGAAGATTAATAGTGGTAAGCTAGTGATAGCTATTTTAAACCCTCAGAGATCTTATCTTAACTCAAGAAATAGAGGAGAATATTTCCCCATAGCAGGATTGATGTATAAGGTGTGTCATCTCATTTTGTTGCCGTTCTTCCACAGACCCAGTAACGTACATTATTGGGCCATTTTAACAGTGAGCACACTGCACTTGTGGATTTGTGCTCACACGTTTCTTGTAGCTTCCAGTAGAACATTGTGTGATTTGTCCTTGGTCCAACATTAGACGTTAGCCAGGTCTTTGAGGATACAGCAAACCTAAACTTACTCCTTAAAAAGTAAAGGAGAGGAGAGCAACAAAGGTGGGTCCTGAGTAGTTGGGGTGACCTCTTTCACTTAGCATAATGTTTCTGAGAGTCATCTGGTTTGTAGCATAGGTCTCCTAAGACATCTGACTTTTTTCCCTAGGGAGATCTTACAAATGATTAAAACCTATATGTGTTCTAGATAAAAACTCATAAGGATGTGTGAATTTCTGTAATGATTCAGTACCATTTTTCTAAGTGTTAGAAGAGATTTTATTACAAAATTAAAGTTTTTAAGTGGTATTAGGGTTGAACACAGACATATACACATTGTTCAATATTCTAAAAAAACAAAAGAGAGAGAGAATACCAAAAGGGCTGGTGAGGTAGCTGCATGGGTAAGGATGCTTGCTGTTAAGCCTGGCAAACTGAGTTTGATTTTCAGGATCCACAAAGTTGGAAGGAGAGAACTGCCTCCTGCAAGTTGTTCTCTGACCTTCACATATGCATCATGACACATTTCCCCCCACTCCCTATTTTAAAACAAGTAGGCATTTTATTAAATGATTGAGAACAAAGGTTTAATTTGTTACTTTTCCTGTATAAGTTTTTTTTTTTAATGTAAAACCCCCGTTTAATGAAAATTTATTCTCTGCTGTGACTAGGGGCATCTTATTTATTTTTTTTGCTTATTTATTTATTTACTTTAATTCATATGAACATTTTGCCTGTGCATGCTGTCAACCACCTGTATGCCCTGTGCCTGAGAAGGTCAGAAGAGAGCATCAGATCACTTGGAACTGGAGTTCGGCAGTGGTGAGCTGCCATGTGCCTGCCGTGAACTGAACCTGAGTCCTCTGCAAGAGCCAGTGCCCTTAACCACTGAGCTATCTCTTCAGCCCTGGAATCTTTTTAAAAACTAATTCTCACTGAAACATTGAAATCCTTTTCAAATTCCCTGCTCCCTCAAAGAATGACATTCAGACTTCTTAACTGGCTCCAACTACTCGTTTTTCAAAAACTTCTTGTATTGTAGTAAAAATATTTAAAATTATAACTACCCTCTTAACTTTTTTCTTTGCTGTGTCCTTTCCTCAGAAACTATTTATTGACTGGGTAGGACAAAAAATTTAACCTGAGCCACAAATACATTACTAACTATATTCATAGCTTGTTATTTTAATAATTCTAAGCATGAAGATAATGGACCTTTGGCATTTACCATTGGAACAACTTGCCTATTGATTTCACAAACTTGTGGTGATATCTGGATGGAAGTATTATAGAAAATTGCAAATAATAGTTATTTGGGTTTTATGTAGTTTGGATTCAGATCATATTCCACATTGAAAACCATTTTTAGCTTTGTGTTGTCAGCAGAGACTTGACTTCTGACTGTTGATTTCAGGCATAGAAATTACCACATACATATCTTTCTACCCGAAGGAATAGCTAATTTGGGTAAAATAGAGGAGAGTGATACTGTCTGCAATTGCTGTTGGCATTTGGTACAAAGACATATATGGTTGTGGTATTTAATGAAAGTTTGGCACTTCTAAACTCTGTTTCTCAGGAATGCTAAGATATTTCTCTTCTATGTTGTATCTTTGTGTTTAGGAACATTTATGTAGATGCATATACATATAAAATATCAACTACTTTAAAAAAAGGCTACTAATTCTAAAGAGTGCAATGAAGGGATATATAGAAGGCTTTGGAGGACGGAAAGGGAAGGGGGAATGATTCAATTTTTAATATCTGAAAAATAAATAATTAGGAAAGTATTCACACCATAGTCTTCTAATAACTAAATTCTATGAAGTAGGTGATGAATATTGCCATCGATAGAGGGAAAAGGAGGCACAGAATGTCTGACTTGTCTAAACTCCAGTTCTCAATGATTAAGACGTACTCATTTTATTGAGTTACCTATATTGTCCTTAAATCCTATCCTGCAAATTATGTCAAGCTAATGAATTACTGGTGTTACAACATTCCTTTATATTTGGCTTGTTTCCTCACTTAGATGGCTTTGCCCATGATGATAACATAATTATATGTGTTAACATGGTACAAAGCATAAAACTCTCTGTATGTGCCATTTTACTGCCATTATTTTATAGAAAACTTTTAAACAAAATCCTATTTTTAATGTTTCTTTGCTTATCAGCTTTTTAGAGTACATTGATTAGATTTCTTTAGCAAGGAAAGTTACTTAGGTATAGCAAAAAGTTCAGATCTTCATGAGGCACATTAGAATAATAGTTTGAACTGAAGAACATAGTAGTGAAGCTATTTGAGACTCCCATTTCTCTCTTATCTTTCTTCTACAGTTATAGCCAAAACTTTATGATGGCCTGGGTCCAATAATTGATATTTGATGGTTACATTTTGTATATTTGGATACAACTTCTTTTTTTTTTTAAAGACATTATATACCCACAAAGTGCTCAATACCGGAAAATAATTCTTCATGAAGACTGGCTTTTGTGTTTAATGTGGTTTTTAGCTGAAGACTGACTATGTCAATTGCTTCTGTGTGGATTACTTTAGAACAACTTTTTAATTTTATTTTATTTTATTTGTGTGTGTGTGTGTGTGTGTGTGTGTGTGTGTGGTCAGAGGATAGCCTTGTGGAATTGGTTTTCTTTTTCCACAGTGTGTACTCTGGAGGTCAAACTCAGGTTGCCAGGCATGGCAGCAGGCACATTTACCCACTGAGCCATCTCCCTAGCATCATATTACATTCTTTATCCAGGAAAGTTAACCTTTCCCTTTTTTTGGTAACCCTTGATTCTTAGTGAGTACTTTAAATAAATTTTCATCAAACAATGCAAAACAACCAGGATTTTTCATGGTCATGGTGGTGCTTGTTCTATAGGTTTGTACTAAACTTTCAAAATATGGTTTGTCTGTATGGCTGATAATATAGGACACAATGGCCTCTATTGAAATGGTAGCTCTTACGATAAAAATTTTGGAAGAGTCTTGAACTTATAACATAAGACATTTTAGTAATGTAGTAGAAAATCTGGTCTTTATTGTAACATAATTGAGCTTGGTAGTTAAAATTTTTATTCATATTGTTAGTAGTAATTTATATTTCCTTTTATGATAATAAGCTTTGCTGTGACATTTGATTTCAAAGCACTAATATTTTCTTTCCAATCTGTTACAGTGACCAGTAAGCAGGATATTTAGCTTACATAATTTTTAAACATAAAATAATGTATTCCATTCTCACTTAGAGGTTTTGTGGCTTTGGAATTAGATCTGAGCTGAAATTTCAACTCTGGAGCTTTTTATTAGCAGTAAATTTCCATCCTTGAGCAGCAGTTTCTTTGTTGTCTGCAGGTGCAGATTCTTATCTCTCAGTGCCTTTGCAAGGATCAGATAAGCTTGTGTGCTAACCTGCTTCCTAAGGAACAAAGACCCATTTTTTAAAAACAGTTGACTATTTATGATAATTTACATATGAAAAGCTGAGGACTTATTAAAATGTATATCTTCTACCTAAAACAACACAGTATTAGTTTTGTATGTTCAAGAAACATCTATCATATAAGCTTTACAATTTTGAAAATTATAAATTTTCTTTAGTGAAAATATTTTTCGTTAAAATATTTTATGCAGCAATAGTATGAATTGAAATTTCTATGAAATACATATATACCTACATTCTAAATGATATAGGTGTGTGTTTTTATAGGTTTGCCTGAATCCATCATTGCGGCTGCATGTTCAAGAAGTGGCCAGAGGGTTCTGCATGTTGATTCGTAAGTTTTAACCCTGGTAGCATTTAACACACATATATGTCTATATATTTATGTACATGCTTGTATATATGTATCATGTGAAATTTCATAACATAGAAAAGCACTGAAATTTTAATTTTTAACCAGTAATTTGTCAAACACTAAATACTATATTTTTATTTCCTTTATATATTTTATTATATAAGATTTCTTATTATAGTCTTTGAAATAAGTATTGTTGTTCTTAAAGAGTAAACAAAATGCATCTTTTTAAAAATTATTTTTCTTATGCATGAGCTTGATCTTAAGTAATTGTTTTACAGGCTTGAAAACCCCTTGTGTGCTTTTTCTTGGATAAATATTTGTGTGTGTCTCTTGTCTGTAAGAATATGCCACATTTATTTGGGATTGTATTTTAGTCTTCATGTTTTATTCTAAAATTTAGCCAGTAGGTTTGAATTTATGTTTTTATTAAAGGATATCGAAAATCAAACTTAAAATTCTTAAGAAAAATGTCTAGAATAATTTTCTCTTAAATGCATTAATAAAAAAGAAGTACAAGGAAAATTACTTGGTGACTACCTTAAATCTCAGTTCCCATGTTTCTTGAAAGCAGATCTTAAGTGTGCCTGCCACCTATATGATTATTCATTTTCACTCAGAAGAGAAAGAATAAGTAGACTTTCTGTCTTCTTGTAGATAATAATTGTTCCAGAGTGCTATTAAACAAAGTATCACTAGGTCTGTAGTGTACGGCCTTTGTCCCTTTGTTCATAGTGTAAAATGTAGCGCTCATTAATGTATACTTAACACTTCATAAGCTGAGTTATTTTTAGGTAATCTCACATGAAGTACTATGGTTCATCTTTGCATTTTCATATACGCATGTATGTCATTATATCATAATTCATTTACCGCTTCCTTGCCTAGCCCCCCCCCCCGTGCTCGTCTTACTTCCCATCAGTGACCCCTTTCTGTGTTCATGTCACATATCACAGCTATTTTCTTTTTTTTTTTTTGTATTTTGAAGAAATATATAATTTTATCCTCAAACCTATTGTTTCCTCTACATATAACTATCAATAATCATTTCCTTTTAACTAGATTCTGTGACTTTTTTTTTAATTGAGAAAAGGAGAAAAAAAAAACAAGTTTCCACCTCCTCCCAGCCTCCCATTTCCCTCCCCCTCATCCCCCCCTACGCCCCCTCCTTCCACCCTTCTCCCCCTCCCCCCACTCCTTTCCCCCTCCCTCTCCAGTCCAAAGAGCAGTCAGGGTTTTCTGCCCTGTGGTAAGACCTAGGACCTCCCACCTCCGTCCATATCTAGGAAGGTGAACATCCAAACTGGCTGGGCTCCCACAAAGCCATCACATTACGTAGGATCAAACCCCCGTGAACCACAGCTATTTTCTTTATCTTCTCTGAGGCTCCTTGCTAGAGCATTTCCTTTCCTCTTAGGATTTCCTTTTTAGTTTTGTGATGTTCTGTCTTCTCTGTATCTCTTTCTCCACAACTATCTTTTTTCTAAAATTGTGTGCTGGTTAGTTTGTGTCAACTTGACCCCCACAGAGGACAATTATTGAGAAAGAAGGAGCATCAATTGAGAAAATGCCCTTATCAGATTGTCTTGTGTAGGCAAGTTTGCTAGGCATTCTCTTGATTAATAGTTGAAGGGATAGCTCATGGTGGGTGGGGACACACCTGAGCAGGTGGTCCTGAGTTGTACAATAAGGAGGCTGAACAAGCCAGTAAACAGCTCTCCTCCATCGTCTCTGCTTCAGCTCCTGCTGCTGGGTTCCTGCCCTGACTGACTTCCTTCATCATGGCCAGTACACTGTAAGATTATAGAAAGTAAACTAAATCAAATTGCTTTGTCTGTTTTGGGTTGTTTCTGCTTTCATGTGAAATTTTATATTTTTTAAATACATTCTTCAGAATGTAATTGAGACTTCCATGTGAAATATATTGAATTTTTGCTTCATTTTTAGTGATATAGCTAATTTTACAATATGAAATTTTGCCATTCTATGTGCGTGGGAGGTCTTTTCATCTTCCTCAATTTTCTTTTTCTTTTAAAAATGTATATTTGTCAAGGCAACAATAGGACATCAAAGATGAATCCTAGAAAGGGCTCAGTGTCAATACTGTAGCAGAAGCCAGAGACTGCAGGCCAGATCAATGACATTGTAGTGAAGACTTAACAAGGAAAGGTGTATGGACTAAAGGGTATTTATACTGTGGGACTCAATGGGCCACACTACAGCTTCCATGCTGAGATTTTTTTCTAATTAGTTTTTTGTTGTTGTTGTTGTTGTCTTTGGTAGTTTTGGTTTTATTTTTAAATCTTTTTTTTTTTTTTTTTTTTTTTTTTTTTGTGGGAAGGTTGCATGGGCAGAGGGCGGAAGTGAGGGACCAGGGAGATGAGTAGGATCAGGATGCATAATGCAAAATCTGCAAAGACTCAATAAGAAGTGAAAAATGTGTATTTATTTTAATTCTTTGAGACAAGGTCTCATAGCAAAAGTTGACCCAGGATGATCTTGAACTTCTGGTTCTCCTCATTCTACTTCCTGAGAGCTGGGATTAGCAGACATAAGCCATCTGGCACCCAGTTTTAAATTTTAGTTTCAGTGTTTACCATTTTTGTAATCCTTTTCCTCTGTTTAAAAGTCATATTCTTAAGGATTTTATTCTTTTGTGAAGCTATTGTGAGTGAAGTGTTTTTTGCTACAAGTCTGTTACTGTGATATGGGTGATGGCTTTCTTATGTTGATTTTATATCCTATTTTACTATAAGCATTCATTGGCTCTGAGAGTTTTTGCTGAAGGTTTTGGATCTTTTAAATATTGGGTCATATTGTATGAAGTAGGGAGTAATTTGGCATTTTCCTATTTTGCATCCATTTTATTTCATTCTCTTGTTGAAATCTATACTGATAAGAGTAGAGAGGAGGTGCACCATTTTCTCCTTCCAGGTTTTAGAGTAAATGCCATGTTTCCCCTTAACATACTCTTGATTTTAGGTTTCTTTTATGTTGAGATATGTTCCCTGTAGTTATAGTTTTCTAAAGGCTTTCATCATGAAGGGATGTTTACATTTGGCAAAGCTCTATTCGCAGTTCACTGATAGCTCTCCTGTGGTTTCTGGCCTTAAGTCTGCTTTATATATGCATTTATTGATTTGTCTATGTTGATTCAATTTTGCATCCCTCGGATGGAAACAGCTTGATCATAGCATAATAAATTCTAATTTGTTGGTTTTAATTTTGCTTTACATATATTTTATTGAGATTTCTAAACATCTTAGTTTATTAGTGGAATTGGGCTATAGTTTCTTTCTTTATAATACAATTTTGATACTATTCCCTCTTCTATTTCATTCAACTTTGTTGAGCATTAATATAACTTCTTTGTATTAGTCCATGTTCCCTAAACCAGCAGAATGGATAAGATGAATATATGTATATTGAAAGGGGATTTACTAGATTGGCTTATGGGATATAGTCCATGTAATTTAGCAGTGGTTGCCTCGCTCTCAAGTTCCAGAATCTGCTAGTTGTTTAGTCCATGAGTCTGGATGTCTCAGCAGTTTCCTTCTGGAACTGGAGCGCTAGAGGATTTTTGGAGAGTTCACATATTCCACATTGGAATCCCAAAGAATATTATTGGGTGTAAAAGTAGTCAAGAAATGTCACATCAACAGGGTGAATCAAGCTGCCAGCTAGAGTGATGACAAATGGGCAAAAAGCAGTTTCCTTTTTCTATGTCTTGTTATTTGGGCCGACGTCAGATGGTTTCACCCAGATTTAGGATGGGTTCCCCGCTTCAAATAATCTCCCACAGGAATACCCAGCACCTAGTGGTTTAGGTAATTCCAGATGCAGTCAAACTGACAATCAAGATTATTGTTCACATTCTTCCTTAAAGAACCTATTTAGTCTTGGCTTTTTTTATGGGGAGGCTGTTTTCATGCTTCTTTCCATTTTTTATTGCTTACTACAGGTTTCTTCAAGTCATTGTGCTTTTGGCAGGTCCTACGCATTGGACTTCATTTCTTCTTAATTTTCCACTGTTTTTTGGGGAGAGAATATACGTTTTCAAAGTATTTGCCAGTGATGTGGATTTCTTTGGAATCTATCTCCTCATTTGTCATATTTTTTGTTTTAGTTTGGCTAGAGGTTTATCAATGTTGTTTATCTTCTCAAAGAAATGCTTCATTAAATTATTTTTTTGTTCATTAATTTCTGCCATATTTTAATTCAATTTTAAGATATATAAGTTCCTCCCTGATTTTTACTTTTAATAACCTATTGTTAATTCAGAGTATTTTGGCTTAGTCTATATGAAATTGTGTAGCTTTTATGGTTTCTTTTTGTGGAGACATCTATTCTTACTCTGTTAACTAATGAGATAGAAGAAATTCTTTCAGTGCTGTTGTAATTCTTTAAGCTGTCTTTGTATCCTAAAACTTGTTCACTTTTAGAGAAGGAACCATCGGACTCTGAAAAAGATGAGACTTGTATATTTATTGGATGGAATATTCCGTAGGCATCTGTAAAGTATGTTTGAACCATTTTGTTTATTTATCTTTAAATTTTTTGTTGATGTCTATTTTGGATATTTTTGTAAAGATGAGAGTGGGCTTATAAAGTTACCCATTACTAACATTTCAGGACCTGTCTGACCATTTATTCTCCTTAATGTTTGTTGTATGAAATCAAGAATTCCGATGTTCTGTGCATATACATTTAAAAATATTATGTCTTCTTAATGAATTGTGTTTTTTAAAATACAATTTTAAATTTAAAAAATTTTAAATATTTAACATTATCAATTATTTTAAAAATACAAATTTTTTAAAAATTACATTTTTTTTTGTAAAAAATTTAACTTCTTTAGTGACTCTCGAAGTATTACATCCTGTACCCAAATTTGCTCACCTCGTGGGGTTTCCCCATACGCCCCTTTCATATGTCCTGCAGTGCCCCCTATAATAGAAACAAAACAAAGTAAGCAAACA